TTAGGGTTTAGGGTTTAGGTTACTGTGAAGGGGTACCCTCCACTATGACTACCAAAAGGATGCTATACTATACGGGTAGTACTATAAACTATAATGAGATACCTACGGTTCGGGTCCAGTGGCTTAGTGCTCCTAAGGGTTTAAGGTTGAGGGTTAAGGGTTGAGGGTTTGGGGCTTTAGCGCTTTAAGGTGGAGGGTTTAGGGTTTAGGGCTCAGGCTAGGGTTTAGGAGTGCAAGGGTTGCCACAAGGGCTTCTGCAAATTGGGTTTAAGCGTTTAGGGTTCAGGATCTGGGACGGTTCCCTTAGAGACCCCAAAATTTCCACTTTAGGGTTTAGGGTTTAGGGTACATCAGGCGCTGCCTGCGAGACAGTTTCGGACGGCGCCTCAAGATCTCCTCTCCTCATCCTCAGGACGCTCCGAGGCAAGCTTCGCCGTGTCTTTCTTCCTCGAACACGTGAACAATAATCCCTAAACCCTAAACCCTAAACCCTAAACCCTAAACCCTAAACCCTAATCCTGCTGCCGTCGGCTCTGATGTGGCTGCAGCTGCTCCATGAGAGCGCGGCCCTGCCAGGGTCGCAGAGCCTCAAACTCTGTGCCGATGGGGTTTAGGGTTTAGGGTTTAGGGTTGAGGGTTTAGGGTTTAGGGTTTAGGGTTTGGACCCTAGACCCTAAACCCCAAACCCCTAGACCCCTAAAACCTAAACCCACTGCCGCTGCTACTGCAAGATCGGAAGGGGACGGGTTGACTCATGTCGGAACCTGATTAGAAACTCTGGCCCGTTAGCCCAAAATACTAGGATTCATATCAAAGAGACTCAAAATAATTGGTTTCGATTATAAAAAAAACCCCAAAATAATAGGATTCATTTAAAAAGCCCTAATGAAGACCCGAGCTCTCTTAATCAGGTTCGGTTCCTATGTTTCAAAGATGGCTTTGGGCCTTGGGGGCTCAAAGGGTCCTGAGGGTTTTATGGTTTTTGGGTTTAGGGTTTCGGGATTTGGGGTTCAGGGGTTTAGGAGTGTAGGTTTAAGGTTTAAGGTTCAACTGTCACTCTGTCGCAGTCGATATGTTTACATAGGCCTTTTGGGCTCTAGAAACGTTACCGGTACAGGCTCAAAGCTCGTTGTCCTACATCTTGTTGATTCGATTCTGATCTACATGCTACTGGCACTGCCACCAATAGCATCAAACTGTACGCCTTCCGATCATACACCTACAACAAAACCTGCTCAATAGAACTACGACTATCAATATCAAGGTACACAAGCGACAGGCTGGAACTGCTGCACAGCTTCAGTTGATTCTGCACTGCACTGTAGCGACCGCACAAAGCTGCACAAACGAGCGGCTGGAGCACATCTTTCGATTCTGCACTGCACTGCAGATACAGTTGCTGCACTCCAAGTCAGGCACGCCAGGTCAAAACGCCACGCCTAAAACCTCCACTCTAAACCCTAAACCCCTAAACCCCCAAAGCACTACAACCCCAAAACCTTAAACCCTATAGTACCCTTGTAGGAACCCGTTAAAGGAACCCCTTAAAGGAACCCCCACACCCCTACCACTGGTTCCTTTGCAAGGCCTGCACTGCCACTCTACGGGCCTTCATAAGTAGATTCGGGCTGGAGTGCATAACAGAGTAGACTTACATTCGGGTACACCATAAACGTGCAATGTAGGGGCCTTAATAATTAGAATAGGGTTTGGGGGGGTCCTTTATAGTACACTTCTAATAAGGAGCCCCCACAATAGCATTAGTCATCATTGAGGCCCCTACCCTAAACCCTAAACCCCTAAACCCTAAACCCCTAAACCCTAAACCCCTGAAACCTAAACCCTAAACCCTAAGCCCTAAATGGAGGCCCATATACCAACCCCGTCGGCACCAAACTGTCGGCCTGGATGGCTAAAGGCCCGAACGCTCTCGCAGCCTTCAACCCTAAATATTGCGGTTTGGGGTTTAGGGGTTGAGGGTTTAGGGGTTTAGAGGGTTAGGGGTTTAGGGTTTAGGGGTTTAGGGTTGGGGGTTTAGGGTTTAGGGCTCAAGTCTTGAAGGGTTGCACGGAGTTTAATACGATTTCAGGAGCTTTAACTCAAGCCGTCAACAGCTACAAGTCGACCCGCAAACTCCCGAACTACCAGACAAAAGATCCGAAAACACTCTACTAGCTAGGGTTTGGGGTTTAGGAGTTTAAGGCTTCGGGTTTAGGGTACTCTAGCTCTAGCTTGCATATCCTGCAAGATAAAGACGCACACATTCGACTACAACCTCACGGTTTGGGGGATGTCCACACTACAAAACTATTTGGGAACCCGCCGGACTATTCAGGCCCTCACAAACCCCTAAACTCTAAACCCTAAACCCTCATCCCTGAACCCTAAACCCTAAACTACGAATCCCGGTACAAAACCCTACAAGCACCTAAGACTCAGTTCTGAACTTCCCTAAAAAAGCCCTCAACCCCAATCCCTAAACCCCCAAACCGCTGCCTGGTGAAGGGTTCATAGCATCAACAGCTGCCTCGACGATGCAGAATGAAGCTCGGGGTTGCTGTGAGGTGTGGTAGTGCTTTTTTTGTAGGGTTTTGCATGGTTTTGGAAAATTCTGTTGGGGTGTTAAAGGGGTTCTCTTAGGGTTCCTCGATAAATAGATGAGCTAGGGTTTCGGGTGGGATCGTATACTTTGATTATGTATAGTTATACAGGGCCAGTACAGTCTACTGGGTTTCATTGATGCAGGCGCCTCAGAATAGAGTTTCGGTGCATATTATAGCGTGGTAACATAAGGACTATATGCGAGAGAATCAGTAAGTGACCCGCCCGCCCCCGAACCTGAACCACTACCGGCTCGGAAGGTTCGAGTTCGGGGAATCGGGATGTGGCTACAACTGCTGCTACTACTGCTGC